ACGACCACCGACCCGCTGCTGAAGGATTGAGCAACACGAAGTCGTTCCTGATGTTTTGGATGGGGTTCCTCCCGGTGTGGTTTGAGGTGGGTTGATATATGTCTGTCTGTCTGTTTGGGTGGTTGGTTGGTTGGTTGGTTGGTTGGTTCGCGGCTCTCTCTCTCTCTGTCTTTCTCGGTTTTCTGTTTTTTTTTTTTCTCTCCATCTTCTGGCTTTCTTTCTTTCTTGATTCTTTTCCTTGATTTTCTTGATTTCTTCTCTTTCTCTTTCTCTTTCTCTCTTTCTCTTCTCTTCTTTCTCTTTCTCTTTCTCTTTTCTCTTTCTCTTCTCTTTCTCTTTCTCTTTGTCCTTTCTCTCTTTCTCTTTTCTCTTTCTCTTTCTCATTTCTCTTTCTCTTTCTCTTCTTTCTCTTTCCTTTCTCTCTCTCTCTCTCTCCTCTCTCGTCTTCTCTCTCTCTCTCTCTCTCTCTCTCTCTCCTCTTCATCTCTTTACTATAATGAAATTAGTAATTATTATAATGGACTTAATGATGATAATAATATTATTATTTTTACTATTCAGTTGTGACCACCACCTGTATTGATTTATTGATATCAATATACCTGCCGTCTGCCTACAAAACAACCGACATACTACCTACCTACATGCCATACCTACCTGCCTTCTCACCTACCTATCTACCTATCCCTATCCACCTGCTCACCTACCTACCACCCACCCACCTACTTACCTACCTACCTACCTACCTCCTCACCTACCTACCCACCCAAACACCTACCTGCCTACCCATCTACCCTCCGACCTACCTATCTACCTACCCACCTACCTACCCACTACTTAACCATCTACTTACCCACCTACCTACCCACCTACTACTTCCCTCCAGATTCTTCCGTCAATTCCCGTCAGTCCACCTACATGTCTTATCTACCCATTTATCTCCCATTCCGTCTATCCGTCTGTCTCTCTGTCAATCAATCTACACACGTACATGAGTGCAACAGGAACAACGAAGGGAAGGACAAGAAAACACACGAATATGCCCGTGTGTTTTCTTGCCCTTCCCTTCGTTGTTCCTGTTGCAATCTGTTCATCATGAATTCCACACATTTACATGAGTATATATACAGTATTTCTAACTTTCAGGATAAATTGTGGGAAACTTTCTATTATCTCAAAGCCAATAACTTTCTATCTCTTAACAAGGTATTGCCACACAATCTCATTCACTTTTTTACTATCGTTCTTCATTCAATTATACAGGATAAAAATGTCAAACATTGATTGATAAGAAATATAATGATGATAGACATGATAGGAAAGGATAATGTTATAATGGAATTGGAATAAAATATTACCTGTCATCTTTTTCCTCTCTTTTAATATTACGGTTCTCTTTCAATTAATCAGTCTATCAAATTCTATATCTATCTACTGACTTACTTTCCATCTATCTATCAATCTACTAATGGCATATATCTATCTCTCTGTCTATCAGGTTTTTCATCGCCACCAATCCTATCTCTCTCTATCTATTCTATCTATATCTATCTATCTATCTATCTATCTATATCTATCTATATCTATCTGATCTATATCTCTCTCTATCTGTCAAATCGGGAGATCGAGGTCAACAATGGCAACGTATTGACGGGCCCACGAGCAGGTTTTTGGTCCCGCACCCACCACGTCACGTGACTGGCCGGCGAAGGAGGGTGCACTCTATATAACGCTTTGCATGACAGGTCAGGTCAGGTCAGGTTTTGTTTTGTAATTCATGTAATTTCTTGTTGTAGTGAAGTTTTCCGGGTTGTTGTGTGTCTTTTCTGATGATGTTTGAAAAGGTTATAATGATAATGATAATATAATAATAAAAATAGTAATAATGATGATAATGATTGATAATGATAGTATAATAATAATGATAATAATATAACAATAACAAATAATAGTAATAATAATAATAATAATAATAATAATAATAATAATAATAATAATAATAATAATAATAATAATAATAATGGTAACACTAATGATAATGATAATGATAATGATGATGATGATGATGATCATCATTATCAGTATTATTATTTTACTATTATTACTATTATTATTATTATCATTATTGTTATCATTATTACTGTTATTATTATTATCATTATTGTTCTTATTATTACACTTTGATAATAATAATGATAATATTATCAATAATGATAAATAAGGATAATAGTGATTATGATGATAAGTACTACTACTACTAATAATAACAATAATAATAATAATGATAATGATAATGATAATAATGGTGATAATATCAACATTAATGATAATTACAATAATAGCAATAATAGTAATAATAATGATGATGATGATGATGATAATAAATATAATAACAATAATGATAATAATGAAGATAATAATAATAATGATAATGATAATTATTATTATTATGATAATGATAATGATAATAATAAACGTAATAATAATAATAGTAATAAAAATAATGCCAAAAATATTAATAATGAGGATAATAATCCTAATAACAACAATAATAATAATAATGATAATGATATTGATAATGATAATAATGATAATAAAAAATAATAACAAAATAATAATGATGATGATAATGATAATGCTTTTAATAATAATAATAATGATAACAATGATATTAATAATGATAACAATTATAATAATAATGATAACAACAATTATAATGATAATGATATTGATTATGATAACTATAATAATGCTAATGATAATGATAATGATAATAGTCATATCAATAATAACAATAACAGTAATTATGATGATGATAATGATAATAATAATAATACCAACAACAACAATAATAATAATAATAATAATAATAATAATAATAATAATAATAATAATAATGATAATAATGATAATAATAATAATAATAATAATAATAATAATAATAATAATAATAATAATAATAATAACAATAATAATATAATAATATAATAATAACAATAATAATAATAATAATATTGATAATAGTAATAATGATAATGAGATTACTAACAACAATGATAATAAAATTAATACAACAATTATAATAACAAACGATAACATAGAAAATCAACAACACAGACCACGACAACAACAAAAACAACAACAAAACAAACGCAAAAAAACAACGAAGAAAAAAAAAGCCTCCGACGCCATTCCCGAATACAAATAACCACACGCCCCGGTCGCCGCTGTGTGTTTGTTTACCGGATTTGTTTACGGACTGTGGCACGTGCGTTTACGAGGACGGAACTCTCGTGCACGCCGCGAGCCCCATTACGCGAAATGGAGAGGCCCCCGAGGATGCTCTCCGTTTAAGGATTTTTCTTTTTTTTTTTTTTTTTTTTTTTTTTTTTTTTTTTTTTTTTTTTGATACTTCGTGTGTGTGTTTGTTTGTTTTTTCGTGTGTGCTTTATACTTCTTGGATTGCATTCTTTTGTTGTTGTTGTTGTTTTTGGGTTGTTTTTTTGTTTTTGTTTTGTTATTCTTCTTCGTCTTCTTCTGTTTCGTCTTCTTCTTCTTTTTCTTCTTCTTCTTCAGCCCCTCCTACTTTTTCTTCTTCTTCTTCTTCTTCACCTCCTCCTACTTCTTCTTCTTCTTCTTCCTCGTCCTTCTTTGTCCTCTTTTCCTTCTTCTTCCTAATCATCTTTATCATGGACGTTACTGAACTCCGTTATCGCTGTTGCAAGAAATGGTTTGCAAGGTTCAGACTGTATATTTTTCTTATCTTTTTCATCTTTGCTACGTTTCCACACAGCTGTCCATCCATCGATATATTTTTTCTGTTGAAATTCATATATACAGGTCACAGAACTATTAAATTCGTCTCTAAGTAATATTAATAATCAGAATTATACTAATTTCTTAAATCTTCAGTCGAATAATTTTTAAAAAATAATCGTTTTGGTAAATTTGTACCTAACTTTATCGCTCATTCTCCATACTTAATTACAGCTCATAATTGCTTCGCATTTACTTAATGACCTTAATAAGCTTTGCACCTAATTTTTGGTGTTGGACTTTTTATTTTCTAGATTAACCTCATTATACATTGTTTTTCGTTCTATTTCTTATTCTTCCTTATCCATCTGTTTACTCAGATCTCATTTC